GTAGTCCCTTTGTTTCAACATGTAGCTCCAGTACTGAGAACATAGCGAAATACCTAGACTTTATTTTAAATCCTTACATGCAAAGTTTGCCATACCACCGACTTTATAAACAAGGTTCGTAATCTTAAATTAAACAAAGACACCTATCTAGTTACCCTTGATGTTTCATCATTATACACAAATATCCCTCATAATGAAGGTATTGAATCTTGTATATATTTTTTACAGAAAGATAAAGGAAACAATAACATCAAAGCTAATGATATAAGGAAATTGTTAAATATTGTTTTACATAATAATTGCTTTGAGTTTAACGATCAGAGTTATTTACAAACCATGGGCACAGCAATGGGAAGCCCTATGGCACCTTCTTATGCTTCATTATTCATGGGTAGACTAGAAGAGCAATTTCTTAACTCAACTTATATAAAACCTGATGTCTGGTTACGTTTCCTAGATGATATTTTTATGATTTGGAATGATTCTTTGGAAACGCTAAACTTTTTTATAGATTCCTTAAATAGTTTCCACCCGAATATTAAATTCTCTTACAATATTTCTAAGTGTTCGGTATCTTGATGTTTCTGTATCTAAAGACGTAACAGGAAAATTGTTACCGATATATTTTGCAAACCTACAAATATGCATTTGTATTTAGCTTTTAGTCCTCTCATCCCTTATCATGTAAGCGTGGTATCCCGTTTAGTCAAGCTAAACGTTATAGACATGTCATTTCTGATGACGGCACTTTTAAGCAGTCTTTAAATACGTATGATAGATTTGTTTTCTGATAGAAATTATCCTGAACCTATTATTGAGAAAGCGTTTTCTAAATTTTCAAGGCAAGTCACAAAATGATGGTTAAAGATTCTAGTTCAATAATACCCTTTATTGTATGTTTTAATACATCTCTGCTTAATATTGGTGAAATCTTAAATCAATATTGTAATCTATTACTTTTGTCTGACAAGGTAAGCGTTAAAAATATACATAACAAGTTCAAACCTATTTTAGCATATAGACGTCCTAAAAACATTCGAGATTATCTTATGAGAAGTGCTTTACTTGATCGCACATTTTTATCTAGCCAATGTTTACGAAGTAGATGTTCACATTGTAACAATATAATTGTTGGTTCCCAATTTAATAGCAGCATAACAGGTAGTTCTTTTGATTTACACAATGATGTTAATTGTACTACGCGTAATGTAATTTACCTCATTACATGTAAAGGCTGTAAAAAGCAATACGTAGGTCAGACTAATCAAAATGTATCATGCAGAATGAATAAACATAGATTTGATATAAGAAATTGTGACGTTAATCCAGTTTCACATGTTGCGATCCATTTCGGATCAAACGATAATAAGTGTTCATTGTCAGATTTTTCATTTTTACCTATAGAAATTATAGACAACAACATGGACAGGTTATGTAAAGAATCTTTTTGGATCCATAAATTAAATACTATGATTCCAAATGGACTAAATAATAAAGTATTGTTTGATTTATAATAGGTTACATGAATATTAATATGTTTGTCTATTATCTTATTTTTATTAACACTGTCTAATAGACATCTGTATCATTGTTGATCCATTTTAATTCATGTACCAGCTTTATTTATAGCATAAATATTTGTTTCTACATGTTATCATAGTTTTGCCGCTAAACGCCATAACGTTTTTCGCGCGTTTAACGCGTGTTCCGTTATGACGTCGCTTCCGGTAATTTTATTATGTTTTGCACTGATGAAGGCATATAGCCGAAACGTTTGCAATTAAATTAAATTACTAAATGTTCGTGTTTGTGTGGCTTGTCTAATTATTTTAAAGACATGTATAGGAAACATACAAATGCAGGAAATATAGAAATAAAGGAAAGAAACATACAAATGTAGTAAACTTACAAAGACATGTATAGGAAACATACAAATGCAGGAAATATAGAAATAAAGGAAGGAAACATACAAATGTAGTAAAACTTACAAAGACATGTATAGGAAACATACAAATGCAGGAAATATAGAAATAAAGGAAAGAAACATACAAATGTAGTAAACTTACAAAGGCATGTATAGGAAACATACAAATGCAGGAAATATAGAAATAAAGGAAGGAAACATACAAATGGAGCAAACATACCAGGTAAATATGTAGGAAATATACAAATAAAGGAAGTGCACAAATTACTGTAGAAAAACAATATACCAATGTAGAAAACATACAAATGAAGGCAACATATACTTAAGGAAACATACAAATGTAAACAAGATTGCATTTGAGAAAAATGCTATGCCACCGCATTAATACAACACTAAATAGTAGTGTAGGAACATATTTTTTTTGTTTCTATACAATTTGAGATTGTCATAATGCATAGATCCCTGACCTATCTTATTCCTATTATCAGATTAGTGGTTAAATCTATTGTTTACTCAATAAAAGATCAGAGTAGGAATATATCAATGCACTTGAGTCAGTGAATTTGGTGGTGAAGGTCCTATTTCACACAGCTGCATCAAAGGTGACACTAGAGGCAAAATTTGAACAACTTTGGTAGAGTACCTATAGATGATATCATTTAACAAATATTAAAGATCTAAGCCTTGTACCTTCAAACAATAAGATTTTTTTATTTTTTACAGTATGTATATATTGAAAATCAATGACCCTGGGGCGGGGGCAATTTTGACCCCAGGGCTATTATTTGAACAATCTTGCTAGAGGTTCACTTCACAATGTTTCATGCAAAATATCTAACCTCCAGCATTAGTCAATTGCTAGAAGAATTTTTTTTTTAAGTTTTAACTATAAGTTTTTACTATGTAAATATGAGGAAAATCAATGACCCCCGGGGCGGGGCCGATTTGACCCCAGGGCTATAGTTTGAACAATCTGGGTAGAGTCTACTAGACAATGCCTTATGCAAAATATCTAAGCTCTAGGCCTTTTGGGTCTTTACAAAGAAGGTATTTTAAGTTTTTACTATATGTACATATAGTGAAAATCAATGACCCCGGGACGGGGCTGATTTTGACCCCAGGGCTATTAATTTGAACAATCTTGGTAAGGTCTACCAGACAATGCCTTATGCAAAATATCTAAGCTCTAGGCCTACGGGTCTTTACAAAAAGGTATTTTAAGTTTTTACTATATGTATATATATAGTGAAAATAAATGACCCCCGGGGCAGGGCCGATTTTGACCCCAGGGCTATAATTTGAACAATCTTGGTAGAGGTCTACCAGACAATGCCTTATGCAAAAATATCTAAGCTCTAGGCCTTTTGGGTCTTTACAAGAAGATTTTTTAAATTTATTCTTATAATTCCTTTTGGTTGCCATGGCAACAAGATTTCTGCATGGAATTAAATTCTTTGATCAACTTTGGAAGCCCTTTAACCAAGGATCAATCCTGCCAAGTTTGGTTGAAATTGGACTAGTGGTTTTTCACAAGAAGATTTTTTAAGTTCACTATATAATCTATATAACACACTAACAAACAAACACACAGGTGAATCGCTATATGCCACCGCATCGCAGATGCTGCGGTGGCATAAAAACAACAACATATGATGAAAGCAAACAAATGTATAAAACATACAAATGCAGAAATAATACAATTGCAAACAAATATAGATATAATCATCTGCCTTGAAAAATTTCATGTAGCCAAGTGGTTAATATGTCAGAACTAGTAATCTAAGGATCTTTAACAGAGTGGGTTCAAAACCCATCAGGGCCGAGCCGTTTCTTTCCTTCATCGAGAAACTTTACACACATTACTCATTACTGGTTGGTTCCAAGAACAGATTCAAGAGTGTGTCTATAAGCTTATAGCTTCTTACACAATCAAACTAAAATAAATTCTGTGTAAACTAACAATTTCATACAGCTTATAAATACATTGTACATGTAACAGAAATCTGTCTTCAAGAATCTTGTCGTATTTATTATTTTCCTATTGCTATAAATCTCAGATTCAGAACATTATGCATTTGAAAATATCTGTCTCCATGTGGTATTTGAACTACCGGTAAAGGCCACCATCTTTTAAGCAAATACTTATCAAATGTTGAGAACAATTGTTTTCTTGTTGCAGATAAGATGAAGACCACTGTTGCCTTAACTTTAAAAAACATGAACATCAACAAAATACGCTAAATTTCAAGGACACTAGGACGATTTTATTGGCTAAAAATAGATTGAAATAATTGTGACGTACCAATAGTATTGCATATCCCGCAGCCTCTGCTTCATTGTAAGGTCGGATGACCTTGTCTTTGTGGAACCTTCGAGGTGGCCGTAAACGATGAATTTCACCAACATTTTCTGCTATCCTTAAATATTAACAATATCTTATAAACGCATGTAGTCTATATAATACTTTAGGTTTTTACATTTTCAACAAAGTTAACTTTGTTTCTAAATATATTGTACCTTTACAGTTGAACTTCACAACCAAAAATAGTCTTTCATGCATTGGCTGGGTTGCTTGGGTTTAATTGCTGCACCAACACAATATAGGTCATAAGGTGACTTTCAAGTTTTACTTGTGGAGGAATACCTCAGGCACATAAGGGCACCAGAGTAGAACCACCAACATTCCGTAAGCTAGATGAATAGCTGTATCAAATGTAGAATCCCAAGTCGCTGACACGGCTTGAGCCTACAGTGTTGAGAGGTAAATGGTCAGAAGTTAAGGAACTTATCAGAGCCTTTAGGTATTGGCTTGAGCAAATGTTTGAGGTAATGGCTTGGGCACAAATACATTGAGTACTGGTCATTCATATTTAAAGGTTTAGAATAGTTATTTTGTATCTTTATGAATCAATATGGACACTTAGGTAATAATAAAGACAATACCAAAATTAAACCAAAATGTTTATTCTCCAATCAATGAAGCCAGTTACCAATGTGTTTATAGATAGACATGTTAAATTATGATTGCAGATTTACAAATATTAATTTGCAAAATGTTAATTTAGTTTAATTTAGTTTACCTCTTAATTCCTTCAAAAGAGCTGCTAGCAAAGTCGATAACACCACTTGTAGGTCTGGTTACCACGCCAACCAGACCTTTACCCACGCCCTTAAAGAATCCCTCCACTCCTTCTTTCTTGGCACCTTCGATAGGCTTCCTCACAATTCCTGTGACTCCATCAAACACACCCTAATTATATAATATACACATATTATAAACCATTCAACAAATTTTCTAACCACAGAAAAATGAGTGTTGGTGCACCACACTATAACTACCGTATTCCGGACAAGTTGCTAGAATGATTAAATGCTAAAATCTTGCCTTTTCGCCCAACAAAATGCACTTTAAGATATCTTATTCATCTCTCCCCACACTGTTTTATACTATTTTACAACTCTGGAGGTTTGTTGCTTTAAACAAGAGGACAACGATGGCCCTGAATAGCTCACCTGATCATAAATTCTCTATATGTCAGAAATAAATAGTCTCAATAGGCACTATCCAAAACAACAACAACTGCAAGGCGAGACACGTATTTATTGGTACACAACTGAGGAGTAAACATTCGTAATTACAATAATACTTCTTCTATTACAAAATAATTTTCTTTAAACACTCCCTTAAACATGTGTATTCTATTTTTAAAAAATAAAAACATCTTTCAATCGAAAATGGGTTTGCGTTTAAAGTTAAAAATTTTGAAAAATTTTTTTCAAAGCCAAAAAATGTTTTTTAATCCCTGACGGAAAACGGGAAAAATTTAAACTAATTTCTTTATTCCCGAAATAAAGGCCGCCCCCTTTCTTTTCATTATTTTTAAAAAAAAGGAGGAACGTGTTTCCTAGCCTACAATGCTTAATTGGGAAAAACCCCCACTATTTTTAGAAAAAATTGAACAATTTAAAAAAGTTCAGACATTTCCTCTTAAAATTTTAACAAATAAAATTATAAAAACATTTTGAAAAAAGTTTTTGAATTTTTTTAAATTTGTTAAAAGACGTTACCAAACGGAGTCTCTGGTTTTAACTGACCACAATCGTAAAGTACCACCCCGGGCAATTTTTCACTTGACCAAACTGGTTATACCAGTTTTGATATCGCACCTGTTGAGACAACAGTTCTCCGTCTATACGATGTAACGCGGAGAACTACATATATTGTATACGGAAAGTAACCACAAGGTAATAAAGTAAAAATTTTGGTCATCTGATATCAAATTCAATCCAGCTTCTACTAATGTGTATTTGTTTCAAATTTAAAAAAATTAAAAAAAGTAATTAGGATGTTTTTTTCATTCCTTTTGGTTAAGTTTTACATCACACCAACACAGTATAGGTCATATGGCAACTTTCCAGCATTACATGGGGAGGAAGACCAGGTGCCCCTCTGAGCATAATTCAGGCAAACGCAGGCACCTGAAAAGAGCCACCGACGTTCCGTAAGCTAGCTAGATTAACTAAGCTTTCTCACATGAAGGAATCAGAAGACACTTGTGGGAATTAAGGATGTATTTATGACATACTCACCATGACTAGACCTTTACCACCACGGGCAAAACCTTCACCAACATTTGCCGGTCTTTTGTTCATTGCCTCTCGTCTTTTCTTCTGGTACTCGTCATCTAGTGTTAGAGCCGCCAGACCTTTACCTAGGGTACCAGTGATCCTAGATACAGCACCAGCAGCGCCGCCTGGTAACATAACATGGAGGGTGATAAATCTTGTAAACAAACTTAAAGTAATTTTTGATTAATGCCAAATCTTTAAGATTAACATAGTCACCATTTGATTTTTCTTACTTCCAGGAACCAGGGTAAGTAGAAATGATCAAACATTTATTTATTTTGGTTGGCTTTACCCCATGCCAACACTATTGTAGGTAATATACTTAACTGGTGGAGTAATACCTAAGGTGTGTTATTTCCTGCACAAATGGACACCTGAGTATAACCACTGACATTCCATAAGCTAGCTGAATACCTTTCTCACATGAAAGGAATGACCAAACAAGAAATTATTTGTCTGATACATACTGGGCAGGCTGTCAAGCAGTTTACCAGTCCTACTTGCCTTCACTTTTGCAAGGAAATGATAACTTATGTACATGCCAGAGCAGAGGTACAGTGCCCCTGACCATAGATGGGATTTCATGATAAAAGTGACTTGCACTGGCAGGCAATCAAACCAGTTTGCCCAATTCACGGCCTAAGGCTTAACCTATTGAGCTAACTGGACAGTATAAATCACATCTAAACCACATTATTATGTAAGTATATACATACCAACAGCATGTCCAAACAAGCTTCTCACTCCTAGAGCTAGACCTTCAGCAAATTCCTCTGGACCTTGTATAGCACCCTGTAAATAATATACATTAATTGATAATTGCCAAATCAGGATACAAGAGTCAATTATAAATTTTTGTTTAGAAGGATTTTACTGAGGGTATTTGAAATGATAAGACTTGAATATTTTCTGAGTTTTTTTACCAATTGATGGAGGTCTGGACAAATACTAATGTGCAAATTTTCAGATCATAATTCCTTACACTTTTTTGCAAAATGACCAAAAAATAATTAGCGTTGCAATGCTTTTCTCTGAAATCGGGCAAAGAGTCACATAAAAAATCAATATTCAATTAACCTTTTAGTATATTTCTTTATCAAACACATGTGCCGATTTTATGACTCCATAAAAATAGTATTGCTCGCACAATATAATTTTATTCAACTCGCGCAATAAATTTAGTATTGAACTTACGCTGATTCAATATCCTCTATTTATTATCCTTTGCAGATTTTTTCCATTTTGAATGATTTACTTGATCTATTTAAGAATTTCAAATTTTGTTTCTCGGCTTTTTGACCTCAGTGGAGCTCGTTAATAATGTTATAAAAATTATGTTTTACATAGATTATACCACTTTATAAGCTTCAAAACGAGAATGGTCTTAATTTGTGAGAATGAATGAAATTCAAATTTCAAACCTACCTGGTAAGGTTCATAGAAAAGATCTTCTAGACCCTCTGCCATACCACGTAACAGACCAAACGGATTACCTAGAACATCTAGACCCAATACCAGCACATACATCTGTTTTATTGCCTGAAATCAACAAAGAAACAACTTTTTTAATTATGAGACAATTGAACAATAAACTGTTCAACATGACATTCAAGTTTAAAACATGAATGTAGGACAAAACCCCACATGTCAAAACCCCACACCTCAAAATTGTATAGAGTGGACAAAACACCACATTAAATATAATACACAAAACAACTACTTGCAAATGTATTTCATAAATAGCCTGTTCTAGGTCCAGAAAGTACCTTGCGGTTAGGGTAATAGCATATAAAACCCAGGGATTAAGGGTTCAAGCCATACAGAGGTAACAACCACATTTCCTCACACCAGTAAGATATTACCACTGGTAAGCTAAAGGGAGACAATTTGGAGTTATAATAGCTTTAAGCTTTCAATGCAATCATACAAATATGTTCAAATCAAAATGTCTTGCTTTTCATCTCAAAACTCTCAATGCAATATTTTTTCCCTGTGTATATAGGAGTATATTTCCCTTATTTTATCCATTTTATTTCATTTTGTCTATAGTTTCTCAGCAAGCAAAATTTAATTAATGTACAGATGGCCAATGACTTACCTGTCCAGCATAATGTGTGGTCATTTCACCAACCAACATTTTATTGTTGTAGAATGTATGTTGTCTTTCAAAGAAACCAAGTCTGAAAATTAAACACAAAACCCTTGCAATTAAAGGTCCTAGGATTGTAAGCTGTGTGGATTCAACCTTCAGGGGCAAGCAATAATGATTTTTATCCATGAAGTTCAGAGTCCATAAATTTGTTGAAATTACATAGCTTCATCATTTAAATTATCATACACTACAACTATTTTACCATTTATTATACATGATGAGTGATTTGATACCTAAAAAACTATTAACTTTGTACTTGTTTGTATGGTAGCAGCAGGGGCGGCAAAATCAATTGTCCGTATTGCACAGGTTGTCCCACATCCTGGCATTTAACAAGGACAATATCAAATCTTATAAATGCTAGCAGTATCAATGTAACATCTGGCGAGCCTTCAACAAAATTCCTTATGTTTTTGCGTATCTTTTTACGCAAATTATGACTTACGCAAAACGTAAATTTACGTTAGTTGAGTTTCACTAAACAGAACGTGCAATTTACGCATAAGTAATAAGTGATCCTAACTTTACGTTTAAACTTATGCAACTGCTTAGCTAAGAAAGTTTAGTGAAACGCAAATAAATACTAAGTTCTGCTTATGCAAAAAGTTACACTCAATCGAGTTATGATAATGTTAGTACCTTGATGAAACGCACGCTGGGCGTCCTTGACAGACTTCCTTGTTTTACCTGATTCTATACTATCAGCTGGTTATTGCTAGTATTGTGATGCTGATCCCATCAACTTAAAATGAATTGTTCCAAAACAAAAGGGGGACCAGTCAATATCATAAATACAGCTCAGTAAAGGCTCGATTAAAATTAATTTTTAGAACATACTTGAAGACAACATCCTGTACGTCTGTGAGGACGACGCCCACAGATTGTAAGAACACATTAATCACGTTAGAATGTAACTGTGTTGGTCTACCGTCACCTCCTCCACCACCTTGTAGGGAAAAGCTCAGATGTACCTGTTAGTATATAATAATAATTCTGTAATAATGCAGTTAACACGTGTCTCACGCACTCTTTTAAATCTTTAAATAAATAAAGGTAATAAAAAAATAATATTGAACGACCTTGTTTTTATGTTTGTCTGGTTTTTACGCCAATTGCATCACAGGTTCAATCATATCATGCCAATCAGTCTACCAAATTAATTTACCAGTTATTAAAAACTCATTCAATTCAATTAAGATTAATAATATCTGTCATATTTTGCGGTTCGGATCGGAATATCCGTCCTGAGGTGACCCGCCCATGGGCAGGTGACCGAGGGACGGATATTCTGATCCGAACCGCAAACATGTCAGATATTTTTTCTTGCATATTCTACCATATTCCATTATATATTAAATTCTTTATCTTTATTTTCAATGAAAATTTATATTATTACAACCGTAACTACTTTCTTACAACAGCGTATGAATTACAACTTCATAATATGTAATGGTAAAATGACGTCATCCTAACTGTGCCATTGTGCAGCACAAGACTCATCTGGAACCCCCTATGCCCGATGAAATTTCTGGCATGGGTAAAACTCACAGAAACGCCAGTCTGATATGCAAGAAAATATTATATTACATTTTGTATTTTTTTCTGTATTTTCCCATTTTAAGTGTCCCTGTTCATCTATGTAACATTTTCAACTTTGATGGTTTTAGGCTTTTGGACCCCAGTGGAGATCTTGCCAGAAATGTTTCGAAGTTACATTAAAAAAAACTCTAAATGTTTGGCTAAAATAGCATGTCATGAAACTCTTAGTCTCTAAATTTGTAGTCAATGTTACCAGTGGATCACTACATTCATTATGTAGGTAAGAAGGGTGTAGGGTAAATATAGTATATAGTTTTACCTTTGACTTCTTGGCCATGAAATACCCCGTTAGAAGGATCTAGGGTCAATATATACAATTATAGTATTACCTTTATAGGTGAAAGATGAAGATAATCATAAAACATTTTTTGTTCACTAGCTAACGACACGCCCATCGTCGTGATCAAATCTTTCTCTGTTCTCTCTATATCCTCTTCCATAAGTTGTTTCTGTGACGAAAAAATATATACAAATGAGCTGTCATGACAAAACCAACATAATGGGTTTGTGACCAGCATGGATCCAGACCAGCCTGCGCATCCGCGCAGTCTGATCAGGATTACCAACTCTATTACAAGTAGAGAAACTGATAGCGAACAGCATGGATCCTGATCAGACTGCGCGGATGGGCAGGCTGGTCTGGATCCATGCTGGTCGCAAACTCATCATGTTGGTTTTGTCATGACACGGCTCAAATATATTTCTTTAACAGCCCTTACAGCCATAAATATGACATTTACACACCTCACAACAAAACAATGTTTTCAATGCTTTTGAGAAATCTTTCATTTTCAAGATTTTTTTTTACTATTCTACTATCCTATTCTTAAAGTGGTCTTAGAAATCGGCATACTCTAGTATCCTATCCTTTAAGTGGTTTTAGAAATGTGCATTCTTAACAATACATACTCTACTATCCTATCCTTAAAGTGGTTTTAGAAACACTTGACAATACTTTGACTATTTAAAACACTGCCTTAATCTTCACAAAATCTAGCATAAATCTGGAGGGCATGTTGTTTTAATGTTGCTATGATTACCTCTTGATCTCGTGAAGCCTCCTGGTCAGAACTGAACAAGTCTAGAATATTGTTAAGGAATCCTTGATCTACTTTTACTTGCATCTCTTGTATTAGCACCTTAAAATATCTGGAAAAAAATATATCAAAATTTGATAAGTCTCTAGAATACTTTCTCTAAGATCAGTACTGTTAAATCATTATTATTTGAGTGGCATGCTTTTTGCTTTTTGTGGATATATATGCATATTTTGACTTTCTTTTGGTACTTTACCTAAACTGCAAGTCTGTTTGCAATGCATAAATTACTTTCTTCATTTCACAAGAGTGGCGGCATGGCTGAGTGGTCTACATGTCCGATTAGAGCTTTAAAGACTGCTGGCCACGTGGGTTCAAACCCTTTCAGTGGCAAGCCGTTGTTCCTTGTGCTATAAAGACTGCTAGCCACATTGGTTCAAGACTGCTAGCCACCTGGGTTCAGACCCTTTCAGTGGCAAGCCGTTGTTTCATGAGCAAGAGACTTTACACTTATAGCTCAGTACTGGTTGGTTTCAGGAAGGGATTCAAGAGTGTTGAAATAAGCTAACAGCTTCTAACACAATTAAAATTAGTATACACTAAAAAATACGCATATTGACACTTCAATGTCACGGAACTTACTTCATTTGTGATATATTACTATGCTCGTGTTTCCTCAACATCATACTGATCTCTGTGAATGGTTTTGGAACTGAAACATAAAACAATGGTATTTTATATTACAATAAAATTATATTTTCAAAAATTTAGCAAAACAAGAATTTGTAACAGAGTTACCAACGTCCCCCGCCTCGGGGAAGTTTTATATGAAGCATAAAATTGTGCTATTTCAAAAGATTGAGGTATGGATTTCAGGACTTTCAGTCCAAAATTATGATCAATGCTAGATCTGCAAATGCAACAATAAATTTATTAAAGAAATACTAGTAAAACTAGAACTGCCACTATCATGGCGTGAATACCCCCGCATACCACTTTGTCAGAATCAACAGTGGCCATTTAGAGCTCAAGGACAACCTCCCTGCCAAATCTGAGGTTACTAAGCCAGTGCATTGCTAAGTTATGTATTCTACATGCTTCAAATGTGAAAATGTCAAAATCAATACACTGCGGACAGGCATTCTTTAGCAATTGAGAAGAAAAGCTTTTTTTTATCAAGGTCCCTGTGTCCTTGACCTTTGACCCAGTGACCTCAAAATCAATAGGGGTCACCTTATAGTCATGATCAACATCCATGCCAAATATGAAGACTGTGGGTCAAAGGAATCTTAAGTTAATGGGTGGACAAACTTTTTGAAGTCAAAGTCCCTGTGACCTTGACCTTTGATCCAGTGACCTCAAAATCAAAAGTGGTCATCTACTAATCATGACTAACCTCCATTCCAAATATGAAGACTGTGGGTCAAAGGAATCTAAAGTTATTGGGCGGACAAGCTTTTTATAGTCAAGGCCCCTGTGACCTTGACCTTTGACCTGGTGATCTCAAAGTCAATAGGGGTCATCTACTAATCATGACTAACCTCCATGCCAAATATGAAGACTGTGGGTCAAAGAAATCTAAAGTTATTGGGCAGACAAGCTTTTTGAAGTCAAGGCCCCCGTGACCTTGACATTTGACCTGGTGACCTCAAAGTCAATAGGGGTCATCTACTAATCATGACTAACCTCCATGCCAAATATGAAGACTGTGGGTCAAAGAAATCTTAAGTTATTTGGCGGACAAGATTTTTGAAGTCAAGGCCCCTGTGACCTTGACCTTTGACTTGGCAACCTCAAAGTCAATAGGGGTCATCTACTAATCATGACTAACTTGCATGCCAAATATGAAGACTGTGGGTCAAAGGAATCTTAAGTTATTGGGCGGACAAGATTTTTGAAGTCAAGGCCCCTGTGACCTTGACCTTTGACTTGGTGACCTCAAAGTCAATAGGGGTCATCTACTAATCATGACTAACCTCCATGCCAAATATGAAAACTGTAGGTCAAAGGAATCTTAAGTTATTGGGTGGACAAGCTTTTTGAAGTCAAGGCCCCTGTGACCTTGACCTGGTGACCTCAAAATCAATAGGGGTCATCTACTAATCATGACTAACCTCCATGCCAAATATGAAGACTGTAGGTCAAAGTTATCTTAAGTTATTTGACGGACAAGCTTTTTGAAGTCAAGGCCCCTGTGACCTTGACCTTTGACCTCAAAATCAATAGGGGTCATCTACTAATCATGACTAACCTCCATGCCAAATATGAAGACTGTAGGTCAAAGGAATCTTACGTTATTGGGCGGACAAGCTTTTTCAAGTCAAGGCCCTTGTGACCTTGACCTTTGACTTGGTGACCTCAAAGTCAATAGGGGTCATCTACTAATCATGACTAACCTCCATTCCAAATATGAAGACTGTGGGTCAAAGGAATCTTAAGTTATTTGGCGGACAAGCTTTTTATAGTCAAGGCCCCTGTGACCTTGACCTTTGACCTGGTGACATCAACGTCAATAGGGGTCATCTACTAATCATGACTAACCTCCATGCCAAATATGAAGACTGTGGGTCAAAGAAATCTAAAGTTATTGGGCGGACAAGCTTTTTGAAGTCAAGGCCCCTGTGACCTTGACATTTGACCTGGTGACCTCAAAGTCAATAGGGGTCATCTACTTATCATGACTAACCTCCATGCCAAATATGAAGACTGTGGGTCAAAGGAATCTTAAGTTATTGGGCGGACAAGATTTTTGAAGTCAAGGCCCCTGTGACCTTGACCTTTGACTTGGCGACCTCAAAGTCAATAGGTGTCATCTACTAATCATGACTAACTTGCATGCCAAATATGAAGACTGTGGGTCAAAGGAATCTTAAGTTATTGGGCGGACAAGATTTTTGAAGTCAAGGCCCCTGTGACCTTGACCTTTGACTTGGTGACCTCAAAGTCAATAGGGGTCATCTACTAATCATGACTAACCTCCATGCCAAATATGAAAACTTCAGGTCAAAGGAATCTTAAGTTATTGGGTGGACAAGCTTTTTGAAGTCAAGGCCCCTGTGACCTTGACCTGGTGACCTCAAAATCAATAGGGGTCATCTACTAATCATGACTAACCTCCATGCCAAATATGAAGACTGAAGGTCAAAGTTATCTTAAGTTATTGGACGGACAAGCTTTTTGAAGTCAAGGCCCCTGTGACCTTGACCTTTGACCTGGTGACCTCAAAATCAATAGGGGTCATCTACTAATCATGACTAACCTCCATGCCAAAAATGAAGACTGTAGGTCAAAGGAATCTTAAGTTATTGGGCGGACAAGCTTTTTGAAGTCAAGGCCCTTGTGACCTTGACCTTTGACTTGGTGACCTCAGAATCAATAGGGGTCATCTACTAATCATGACTAACCTCCATGTTAAATATGAAGACTGTGGGCAAAAGGAATCATAAGTTATCGGGCGGACAACCTTTTTAAATCAAGGCCCCTGTGACCTTGACCTTTGACCTGGTGACCTCAAAATCAATAGGGGTCATCTACTAATCATGACTAACCTCCATGCCAAATATAAAGACTAAGGGTCAAAGGAATCATAATTTATTGGGCGGACAAGAAAAAACCAATGGACAGCTGGACAGCCGGACAGACAAGCTGATTCCAGTATACCCCCCACAACTTTGTTGTGCGGGGGTATAATGAAACAGGTAAATTAAAATTCTATCATGTTAACCTTTGACCTCTTAGTGTGACCTTGACCTTGGAGGTAGGGGTGCAGGTGTTGTGCATGACATATCGTCTTATTAATATTACTATTTGTACCAAGTATTTTCAAAATCCCTATAACAATGTAGAAGTTATAGATAAGACACAAAATATATCCTAATACAGACTATGACAATCTTGACCTATAAGTGTGACCTTGGAGGTAGGGACCCATGTTTTGCGCCTGACATATCATCTTATTATTGAGATTATTTGTGCAAAGTATTTTTAAAATCCCAGGTTATGGACTGGACACAAAATATACTCTATAACAGACTATGTAAATCTTTGACCTCTATGTGTGACCTTGAGCTTGGAGGTAGGGATACATGTGTTATGCATGACATATCATCTTATCATTGTGACTATTTGTGCCTAGTTATTTCAAAATCCTGAAGAAGTTCTAGATCAGACACAAAATATACCCTAAAACAGACTATGTTAACTTTTGACCTCTAAGTGTGACCTTGAACTTGGAGGTAGGGATGCAGGTGTTGCGTAAGACACATTGTCTTATTATAGAGACTATTTGTTGCAAGTATTTACAAAATCCTTTGATCTATGAAAAAGTTATGGACTGGACACAAAATGAACCCTGTAAAAGGCTATGTTAATCTTTGACCTCCAAGTGTGACCTTGACCTTAGAGGTAGGTGACCGGTTGTTATGCATGACACATCATCTCATTATTGTGAACAATTGTCGCAAGTATTTACAAAATCCTTTCAAAGATAAGAAAGTTATGGACCGGACACAACATATACTATCAAATAGACAATGTTGACCTTGAATGAGCAAGTGCGACCTTCACCCTGGAGGTAGGGGTCTGGTTGATGTGCATGACACATCTTCTTATTATAACAAACATTTGTGCCAAGTTATTACTGATTCCTTTGATAAATGAAAAAGTTATGGACCGGACACAAAATATACCCTGTAATAGACTATGTAAACATTTGTCCTCCAAGTGTGATCTTGACCTTGGAGGTAGGTGACCGGTTGTTGCGCATGACACATCGTCTCATTATTGTGAACAATTGTGGCAAGTATTTACAAAATCCCTTCAAAGATAAGAAAGTTATGGACCGGACACAACATATACCATCAAATAGACAATGTTGACCTTGAATGAGCAAGTGCGACCTTGATCTTGGAGGTAGGGGTCTGGCAAGACACATCTTCTTATTATAACAAACATTTGTGCCAAGTTATTTCAGATTCCTTTGATAATTGACAAAGTTATGGACCGGACACGAAAGTGTGACGGACAGAAGGATGGACAGACGGACGGACGGAGCCTATTTCTATATCCCCCTTTTTTCTTTGAAAAGGCCGGGGACAATAAATATTACCCCTTAGCCTGGTGGGAGGGCTCACATATGACTTTGAAAATAGTTTGGTACCAGGCCACAAGTCGGTTGTTAATTCTTTTTGCATTTCGAGAAAATTGGATGAAATTGAAAAGTTAAGCAGCCAAAATTTTTGTATATGTTTTTCCTGTCAAAATAACATCATGGCACTCTTGTACTTTAAATTATTCCTATTTATAACACAATACATGTACATCTTCATCTAAAATATTTATATTTTTTTGGTTGGGTCTAACATCGAAATAACACTTTAAAGTCATATCCTGACTTTCCAGCTTGGCTGATGGAGGAAGACTTTAGGACTGGTGGCCTGCCTTGCATTATTTCAGGCATGAACAGGCAACTGAGTAGAACTAGAAAAATTCAAGCTATATATATATATGCAAATGTATATATATCCAAAATACAATTATCAAAGTTAACAAGAGCTGTCGGTAGGACACCACCGCTCGATTATTCTAAGTGCTTGATAGTAAAAAAGCCTTGATAATGTAAATTTTTCTAATAAGGGTAAAATTTTTCTTTAAATCCTTATGACAGATATAGGCCTTGGTGAGAGTCCTATTATGCTCTAAAAGAAAAGTATAAAATTTCAACTTGTTTCAAAGCCATATGTCAAAGGACTTCGAAAATATTTGAGGTATTACAAAAACTTAAATGTAAATTCTAAGTCAAAAAAGGGGCATATTCTGTCAAAATGCTTGATACAGTTACCTCCCCCTGTCTACAGGTTGGGGTCATGATGATGAACTAGTGTGCAAAGTTTCAAAGCCATATGTCAATGGACTTTGAAAATATTTGAGGTATTACAAAAACTTAAAAGTAAATTCTAAGTCAAAAAGGGGCATAATTCTGTCAAAATGCTTGATACAGTTACCTCCCCCTGTCTACAGGTTGGGGTTATGATGCTCAACAAGTGTGCAAAGTTTCAAAGCCATATGTCAATTGACTTTGAAAATATTTGAGGTATTACAAAAACTTTAAAGTAAATTCTAAGTCGAAAAAGGGGCATAATTCTGTCAAAATGCTTGATACAGTTACCTCCCCCTGTCTACAGGTTGGGATCATGATGGTGAACAAGTGTGCAAAGTTTCAAAGCCATATGTCAATAGATTTTGAAAATATTTGAGGTATTACAAAAACTCTAACATAAGTGGTTACGCCAACGCTCGGGTGACTACAATAGCTCTACTTATTCTTATCGAATAGTCGAGCTAAAAAAGTCATCAAAGTTAAAAAAGTCTTTAACAAAACTATATAACTGTTATATAATGTTTATATTACCACTTTCAGCAGCAACAGATTTTGGAGGTGGCATCGGTGATATAACTGTAGGGAACACTGATCCTGCCACCTGGTTATCCAGCTACAAACATACAAATATACATTTGTATATAATTATTCTATTTAACATTTCCTTTAAAATGTCTTATTAAAAAAAAGCTTATTTTTTATCACATGATTTCTTTATTTAATTTAGAAATTACATCTTTTTTTTAAGAATATTTCTCTATTTAATTTAGAAATTACATCTTTCTTTTTAAGAATATTTCTCTATTTAATTTAGAAATTACATCTTTTTTTATAGAATATTCATCTTTTTTTTTATAGAATATTTCTCTATTTAATTTAGAAATTACATCTTTTTTTTATAGAATATTTCTCTATTTAATTTAGAAATTACATCTTTTTTTATAGAATATTCCTCTATTTAATTTAGAAATTACATCTTTTTTTATACAATATGTTTTTTATATAAAAATGTTCGATCAATATTAAAATAACAGATCAGACACTTTTTCTTCTGTATCCTAACTTTACAATATCCGACTTGTTTTCTGACACATTAATTTTGTCAACTTTTTTAACCATTAGCCTGCTGGTGACAAATGATTCTTACTTAATCACTATTCTTTTATCACAATTCAATATCTGAATTCTTTTTTTTACAAAGTGATTTCTTCTATAATTTGGTTTTAAATAACAACATTCTTATTTTAATGTACAGTGACATTCCTATATTTTTTAGTAACACTGTTTCAATACTTTGAAGAGCAGTCTAAAAGTAGACCAAAAATACACACAGATTTCAACAAGTGCCGACACATACCTGTACCCTGTTTATTTTAGCATGGAACTGGACTTGATGTGGGGACGTCTTGTACTGTACCCAGATACCGTCCTGGAAACTGCGCCGGATCATACGCTTATTTGGTTTGAACATCATCATATCTTTAAAGTTAACCTGTATAATAAGATATTATAAAATACATAATTATAGTAGTTCGATTTGTTTTGTTCTGTTGGTTTAAAAACCAGTTTTAACAATATTTCAGTATGACAAGCTTAAAGTACCATAAGTACCACAGAAAATGGTTTGCACCAGTACATATATATACCAAGCAACACAGCAAAATGGTTTGCACCAGTACATAATATATCCATTCTTAAAGTGTATAAAGCTACATCTCTGCTGCCTACAGTTTACAATTTTTTTTTTGTATTTTGAAATATGTAGGTTTATTTCCCTTTAAGCAAATGTAGCATTGGAATTATTCTTTTAAAATTCAAACAAAGATATTGCATTATTTACCACCATATTTCTACTGCATGATTATTGCATGATTATTGCATGATTATTGCATGATTATTGCAGTAAGGGCAATTGTTGCATATTTTGACCTCTTTTTGGAAATTTACCTAGTTTGCAATGTGAAAATTACTTTTTCTTTGTTCACTTCACAATGTTTTACTCTAAAATACATTTTTTAAACTTTTCACTAAAATAAGCATGAATCTAGAAGCATACTGCTTTAACAGTAATCATGTGAGAATGGCTTTTCTGAGAATCTTGCCTCAAATCCTTTTTTTCTCCTTTTTTTTTGTATAACAAATGGTGTATAAATAGGAAATTGATATCAATTTTGAGTGCATTGTTGTAGAATTATGCAAGTTTCGAGTTCAAAATGTGTAGGAATATAATTGCGAAAGGCCAATATGCAAATAAGAAAAAGCATTGATAAAAATATGTTGAACTTCATTGAGGGTAGAAATAATTTTCCTGATGTTATTTGGTTTATTGATGTTAAATTATATTATGACCCATTTGTTTTTAATGCTGTGCATACATCTTGCAATAGTGTGTATGATCACCCTATGCTTGATAGGGAATAGTGTGAAGCGTGTTAGAATATGTTTTTACCTCCATTTTGTCAATACGTAACATATCTGGGGGAGTATGTCCACCTAACTTCTCTGTTTCATATTTCTGGTATGCTGCCTCCAGGGCCAAACAATTCTTCAAGTTAAATGCCTTGTATCTCTTCCTCTTCTCTTCCCAGATTATACCAGAACTAAAATATACCAGATTATACCAGAACTAAAATATAACAGATTATACCAGAACTAAAATATACCAGATTATACCAGAACTAAAATATACCAGATTATACCAGAACTAAAATATACCAGATTATACCAGAACTAAAATATACCAGATTATACCAGAACTAAAATATACCAGATTATACCAGAACTAAAATATACCAGATTATACCAGAACTAAAATATACCAGATTATACCAGAACTAAAATATACCAGATTATACCAGAACTAAAATATACCAGATTATACCAGAACTAAAATATACCAGATTATACCAGAACTAAAATATACCAGATTATACCAGAACTAAAATATACCAGATTATACCAGAACTAAAATATACCAGATTATACCAGAACTAAAATATACCAGATTATGCTAGAACTAAAATATACCAGAGTATACCAGAACTAAAATATACCAGATTATACCAGAACTAAAATATACCAGATTATACCAGAACTAAAATATACCAGATTATACCAGAACTAAAATATACCAGATTATACCAGAACTAAAATATACCAGATTATACCAGAACTAATATATACCAGATTATACCAGAACTAAACTATAGCAGATAATACCAAAACTAAACTATAGCAGATTATACCAGGACTAAAATATACCAGATTATACCAGAACTATAATATACCAGATTATACCAGAACTAAAATATACCAGATTATACCAGAACTATAATATACCAGATTATACCAGAACTAAATATACCAGATTATACCAGAACTAAAATATACCATATTGTAACAGGATTAAAATATACCAGATTATACCAGAACTAAAATATACAAGATTATACCAGAACTAAATACACCAGATTATACCAGAACTAAAATATACCAGATTATACCAGAACTAAAATATACCAGATTACACCAGAACTATAATATACCAGATTATACCAGAACTAAAATATACCAGATTATACCAGAACTAAATATACCAGATTATACCAGAACTAAAATATACCATATTGTAACAGGACTAAAATATACCAGATTATACCAGAAATAAAATATACAAGATTATACCAGAACTAAATACACCAGATTATACCAGAACTAAAATATACCAGATTATACCAGAACTAAAATATACCAGATTACACCAGAACTATAATATACCAGATTATACCAGAACTAAAATATACCAGATTGTAACAGAACTAAAATATACCAGATTATACAAAAACTAAAATATACCAGATTGTAACAGAACTATAAATATACCAGATTATACCAGAACTATAATATACCAGATTATACCAGAACTAAAATATACCAGATTATACCAGAACTAATATATACCAGATTATACCAGAACTAATATATACCAGATTATACCAGCACTAAACTATACCAGATTATACAAGAACTAAAATATACCAGAGTATAGCAGAACTAAAATATACCAGAGTATAGCAGAACTAAAATATACCAGATTATACCAGAACTAAAATATACCAGATTATACCAGAACTAAAATAAAACAGAGTATACCAGAACTAAACTATACCAGATTATACCAGAACTAAAATACACCAGATTATAGCAGAACTAAAATATACCAGAACTTAAATACATCAGATTATATCAGAACTAAAATAAACTGGATTATACCAGAACTAAAACATACCAGATTATACCAGAACTTAAATATACCAGAGTATACCAGAACTATAATATACCAGAGTTTACTAGAACTAAAATATATCAGATTATACCAGAACTAAAATATACCAGATTATGCCAGGACTAAAATATACTAGATTATACCAAAACTAAAATATACCAGATTTTACCATACCAAAAATACATCGGATAATACAATAACTTTATTATACCATAACTTAATATACTAGATTTTACTGCTGCATTTTTATCTATTTTTGCATTTCTTTAGGGTTACTTAATTTCTACAATAAACCATCTCCTTATCAATTGAGTCAAATCAGGAACATATTACAACATACCTTGTTATTCCAAGGAAGGCCACCTCTTGTTGTTTATAGTTGTTTACCAAGGAGAGTCCCATTCCTTGAATGTTTAAGTTGATCTCCTGCTCTATTCTCTCTAATTCTCCAGCCTGTAATATCACAACAACAACAACAATAAATTTATAATTCATGATAAAACTACTAACACACTAAATGTTCTCAAAGTTATAGAATTACTATGCTTTTTGCCAAGTAAATGAAGTTGACTATTGTGTCAACATCTGAAAAGTCTCAGGACAACCAATACATTTATTTAATAATAGATGTATCAACACATTATAGTTTTTTACCAAGTCACACAATCATATCTTAATAGATTCATAAAATCATGTCATCACATTCTTATAAAATAATGTCATCATAGTTCAATATATATTTATTAAATAATGTCATCAAATATTCATAAAATTATGTCATCATATCTTAATATATTTGTTAATAATGTCATCATAACTTAATAGAATCATAAAACCATGTCCAAATGCTCATAAAATCATGTTTTCATATTTCAAAACATTCATTAAATAATGTCACCATATCTTCATTAAATCATGTCATCATATTTCAATATATTTGTTAAATAATGCCATCATATCTTAATAGAATCATAAAATCATGTCATCAAATTCTCATTAAATCATGTCATTATAATGCTCATAGTATTATGTCATCATAGTTCAATAATTCATTAAATAATGTCATCATATCTTCATAAAATAAGTCATAATATTTCAATATATTCATAAAGTCATGTCATCACATCTAAATGTCATCACATTCATAAACTCATGTTATCACATTCTCATAAAATCATGTCATCATATTTCAATATATTCATTCAATAATTTTATCCTATCTACATAAAATCATGTCATCATATCTTATTTATTCATAAAATCAAGTCATCACATCTTCATAAAATCATGTCATCATATCTTAATTAAATCATGTCATCATATTTTAATATATTCATAAAGTCATATTATTATACCATTATGTATTCATAAAAATTGTGTATAAAAACTGTGACTATTATTTCATTTGTTATATTTTTAAAGTAAGTATATTTGTAGGAGATTTAAAAGTATTAATTATTTACTAATAGAAAATGGAAGTTTTAGTGCCAAACTAAATTTGATCCCACTAAAAGATGACAAGGTCTCCCCCACATTCCACTTTTGTCAATCTACGGACATAAGATGTGACTTCAGGACAGACGAAGAAAGGCAAATCTATATCTATATGACACGCCCCTAAGTGGGGGCATAAAAAATGTTGACTTCTTTTGTACAATTATTTTTATCATACAGACATGTATCTGCATTTGAAAAAAAAGTGACAAGTTCCATAACTCTGCTGATTCTATCACACAAGATAAAAGTAAAGTTAGACAACACTCTAAGAACCAAAATCATTTACTGGTTTCATATATAAAATTAAATTAGCGAAAGGGGAGAAATGGTTTTATGATAATAAAATTCTTGAAGTTGTAAGCAATTTTAGTTATGTAGGTGTAACATTAACACAACAGTTGTCCTTAAACAGAATGGCTAGTGAACAAGCGTCTAAAGCAAAAAGAGTACTTATTTCTATACTTACGCAATTATATGACTACGGACAGTTACCCCCAAAAGTATTTTTTAATATTTTTGACACAAAAATTAGTCCTATTTTACTTTATGGATCAGAAATATGGGGTATACACAAGTTAGTACAGCCAGAGTTAGTGCATAACTATGCATGTAAAAGATATTTATGTGTGAAAGAAAAAATAATTAATGCAGGTGTCCTAGGTGACTGTGGGAGATTTCCTATGTTTATAAATTCTGCTAAAAGAGCTGTAAGATATTGGTGTAAAATACTTAAAATGGGTGAACACAGATTAGTTAAAAAATGCTATTTTATGCAGTTGTTTTTGGATAGTACGGGGCAAACTAACTGGTGTACTGGTATTCGTAATTTATTATGTAAAAATGGTTTTGGCTACATTTGGTATAATCAAACAGTCAATAATGAAGACTATTTCATAAATTCTTTTGTACAAAAATTAAAGGACCAATATCTACAAGAATGGCAAACAATTATAAATGATAGTTCTAAATTGTATGCGTATAGACAGTTTAAATGCAATATCGAACATGAATATTACTTAACCGTAGTGACAATTAGAAAATTCAGAAATGCTCTTGCCAAACTTCGGTTGTCCTCCCATGATTTAGAAATTGAAAAAGGTAGATACCAGAATATTTTAAGAGAACAAAGGATATGTAAATTATGTCACGAAGCAATTGGAAATGAATATCATTTTGTTTTAGTTTGTAAAAAATTGTCTTTGATTAGAGAAAAATACATTGACAAAAAATTCTTTAATAATCCTAATAATCATAAATTTAATGTTCTAATGTGCTCTCGCTCTGATAATGTTATAACAAATTTAGCTATGTATGCATATTATGCATTCAAAGAGAGAAATGATATATTAAGTAAAACAGATACTGACAGTTAGAAATCATTAGGATATACTTACTATATTGTTGAGATCACATTCTTAGAATCATTTTCTATGTTATAACACAGATACTTAAATTTGAAATTATTATTATAAAATATTTGAGAATATGCTTATAATATCATGAATGTTACTTTTAGGTATTGTTTAGTTTGTTGTTTTCAATTTTGAATACGTTTGTACAGTGAAGAGATATATGGATTTACTTTTCATTTCGGGCAATGTTGTACAAAGCTTAAGACTGATCAAAACACTATTGCCTTTTATGTTAAGGCTATAGTATGTTTTCCTTATTTTGCAATGAATAGCCATAAGTGAAGATCTTATGTTTTGTTTTTCGTTAAGATCGACACGAATTTTGGTAAATTATTCAATAATAGTTCTGTGTGTTTCAATATAAACATTATTAGGAATTACATTGATCTGTACTGACACCAGTCAAGAAATTATATGTAAATGTATATATTGTTGTAATGGGCCGGTGGCCAATATCAATAAATAAATTGTCATTGTCATTGTCATATAAAAAATAAAGATTCTTAGATGTGAAATAAATTATTTGAATTCCTTTCAAAATAATGGCATTTAAAACATTAAATAAGTTAATTAGTTTTGTTCTAAGAACAATATTCTCAGACTTTATAACTAAAAGCAGAAAAAAATTTAATATAATTTAAGGAGTGAATAGAATTATTTTTTCCTCTACTATTTAAGTACTATACAATCTACAAACAAGGGTGCCATAGTCACAAAATACGCCCGTTTACGAAAGCTTTAGATGGAGATGGGGGCATTATGGATAAGTGTTATCTAGCAAGCAAGTTTTTATTCTTGGCACTGTGTTGTTAAATGAACCTTAAAACAAATCAGTAGGGAAGATATGCACAGGATGTGTGACCTTGACCTTGGTCGCAGGGACCTGAATTTTATGCACGGCACTCAGCCTCACAATGATGAACATTTGTGCCAAATTATATTGAAATCCCTCTATGCATGTAGAAGTTTTGCTCCAGACAAGCGTTTTTCTATGAGCTCTAACTGTGACCTTCACCTTTGACCTAGAGACTTGGTTCATGTGCAGGGCACTACGTCTCATGGTGGTGAACAATTCTATAAAGTAACATTAAAATTCCTCCATGCATGTAGAAAATATGCTCCGGACAACATCTGGATATTTAATCATCTCCAGTGACCTTGACCTTGCAAATATTAACCTAAATTAAATGTGTCACACCTGTAGTCATGATAGTTACCATTTGTGCTACAATCCATCAATAAATGATGACTAAATGGTCCCTATACACATCTTCAAATTTTTATCTGAACTTTGACCTCTATGTGTAACATTGACTTTGGTCGCAGAGATCTGAATTTTGCGTGCGACACTCAGCCTCACAATGGTGAACATTTGTGCCAAGTTATATTGAAATCCCCCTATGAATGTAGAAGTTTTGCTCCGGACAAGCGTTTTTCAATAAGCTCTAAGTGTGACCTTGACCTTTGACCTGGAGACCTGGATCATGCATGGAGCAATACATATCATGGTGGTGAACATTTCCATAAAGTATTATAAAAATTCTTCCATACATGTAGGAGATATGCTCCAGACAAAATCTGGATATTTCACCATCTTTAGTGACCTTGACCTTGCATATATTGACCTAAAGTACATGTGTCACAGCCGTAGTCATGATAATGACCATTTGTGTTACAATCCCTCAATAAATGATGATTAAATCGTCCCTATACACATCTTCATATTTTTATCTAAACTTTGACCTCTATGTGTGACCTTGACCTTGGCCGCAAGGACCTGAATCTTGCGCGCGACACTCCGCCACACAATGGTGAACATTTGTGCCAAGTAATATTGAAATCCCTCTATACATGTGGAAGTTTTGCTCCAGACAAGCATTTTTCAATGAGCTCCAAGTGTGATCTTGACCTTTGACCTAGAGACCTGGTTCATGTGCGTGACACTTCTCTTCATAGTGGTGAACATTTCTATGAAGTTTCATGAAAATCCCTCCATACATGTAGGAGAGCTGAACTGATATTTACTTGAAAATTAAAATATAATTAAATTTCTATGAGAAAGTATTTACATTTGATAAGGTAATTACTGTATGATCTTTATGAACAAATACCAAGTCTACAGAACACCATAGTTATCACAGTTAAGAATCTTGACCAATGAATGAAACATGTGTAAATAAATGTTACATTCTTTAGAACATACTCAAGTCCAAGAAAGAGGATTATTTTATGCCCTTTGATTAAATTCTATTTTTAGAATTGAAAGTGAAAGTAGATCAAGGGGAGTAATTGTGTAAGTCATTTATGAACAAAGTAATAACTTTGTTGTCGCCCTTTGGTTAAATTCTATTTACAAAATCTGGATATTTCATCATCTTTAGTGACCTTGACCTTGTATATATTGACCTAAATTATATGTATCACAGCCATAGTCTTGATAATGACCATTTGTGTTACAATCCCTCAATAAATGATGACTAAATGGTCCATATACACATCTTCATATTTTTATCTGAACTTTGACCTCTATGTGTGACCTTGACCTTGGCCGCAAGGACCTGAATCTTGCACGCGACACTCCGCCTCACAATGGTGAACATTTGTGCCAAGTGATATTGAAATCCCTCTATACATGTGGAAGTTTTGCTCCGGACAAGCATTTTTCAATGAGCTCTAAGTGTGACCTTGACCTTTGACCTAGAGACCTGGTTCATGTGCGCGACACTGCTCCTCATAGTGGTGAACATTTCTATGAAGTTTCATTAAAATCCCTCCATACATGTAGGAGATATGCTCCGGACAAAATTGGACGCCGCCCGCCCGCCCGCCAGGGGCGTTCCCATAATACGTCCCGTTTTTCAAACGGGCGTATAAAAACTATTACAAAAGAAAAGGTACCACTATGTTGAGTAAGATACTGCTATCAGTTAACAAAACCAGTGACCTTGACCAGCAATTGTGACCTTTCACCTTGTGACCTAGTTTTGAATCTCTACGATAATTTCTTCTAAGGAAGACAGAATTTTGTTCTAAAAATAACCTAGTGTTCTAAAAATAACTTATATAACTAAGTCTTTCCTGTCTAAAAATTTTAAGATTATTCACAAAGCAAACACTACAATGAAAGAAGATGGTGTAACAAAAAACAAAAGACTAGTGCTCGTCAAATAGCTGACACACGTCAAATTGTAGTACAATAAACTCGTGTAAAAAAACTCGGCACTACAAAACAACACAAGATGCAAGAATATCATTTTATAATACTGTATATCCATTATGAATCAGCACCTGGGTAGAACCATTAATGTTTTGTATGCTAGCTCGACAGCATCCTAACATATGAAAGAATCCAAAGTCCCTGGCTGGATTCAAACCCACCATGGTGAGGGGCAAGTGGTTTGATGTTGCACTTCAGATTGTTTTTGAAGTAAAGTGGTTTGGGTAAGGATGCCCTAAAAATCTATAAAATTGTTTTGTTCAAATATCTATTAGTATTTGATGCTATCTTTCAATTTAGAAAAAAGTCTTGCATCTGTTTTTAAAGATAAAACAAAAATAAACAACCTGCGACTTTTTATATAACTGAAATCAACAAAGCTAAACAAATATAAATAACTGTCATACTTTTGATAAAACAAATTCAATACATCAAAATATGAATACGGGCAGAGATGTAAATATCTATGTCTCTGATCAGGGGACAAAATTCTTAATGTAATTCCCATTTCTCGGATTAGGGGACAAAATTCTTAATTTAATTTCCATGTCATAAAGAAGTCTCAATTTTTAAAACTTTCTCACTCAGTATTTAAATATCTACTCAATTTTTTGATTACTGAACTGGCTAGAATTGACTTTTTGTTACTATTTGTTTGTATCATTGAGTTTTATGTCACACCAACACAGTATAGGTCATATGACGACGTTCTAGCTTTACTACTGGAGGAAGACCTCAGGTGCCCTTCTATGCATTATTTCAGGCACAAACAGGCACCAGAGTAGAACCATCGACGTTTCGTAAGCTAGCTGGATAACTTCCTCACATTAATGTTATTATTTGAGCATGTAAAAAAATTTTAAAAAGAAATGACCAATAATTTTGGAACATGCAGGAATACTGGGAAATAGGAACATCACAAAATGATACTATAAATAGAAAACCAATCAGCTACTTGTGGAATAAAGTAACTATAAATAACTGACCAATCACTCGCTGAATCATGCATGAATACAGGAACTATTATTAACTGACCAATCATCTGCTGGAACATGCAGGAACACAGGAAATGTGATAACAATAAAATGTTACTATAAATAACCAGCCAATCATCTGTTGGAACATGCAGGAACACAGGAAATGTGATAAAATAAAATGTTACTATAAATAACTGACCAATAACTTACCTCTTGAGCAATGGTTGCTAGAGCAAGGTCATGAGTGAACAGAAGAACTCTCTGCATGCCATTGAGGAAAGAAACCCAGTAAACTTTTGTGTCCGAATTGAAGAATACTTCTCCTATACCATCCTGTACAATAAAAGAAATACAGAATTGAGCCGTGTCATGACAAAACCAACAATAGCATCGATCCAGACCAGCCTGCGCATCCGCAGGATCAGGATCCATGCTGTTCGCAATCAGTTTCTCTTCTTGTAATAGGGTTTGTAAGCGAACAGCATGAATCCTGATCAGACTGTGCAAATGCGCAGGCTGGTCTGGATCCATGCTGGTCGCAAATGCATTATGTTGGTTTTCTCATGACACGTCTCAAACTATTAAAATAATCTTAATATCACGGCTCATTTAAGGAGAAATAATAGCTTTGTTAAGTTCAAATTATGATCTTATCTAATTTAATTTGCTCTCGTATTCTGATGTCAAGCGACAGCGTTAAAAACATCAGTTATGAAACACTGAAATTCATTTTACTGTTATCATAAATGCACACATAATTTGGCTCTTTAGGTAGAGAAAGTCCTTAGATGTCCCTCTGTGCATACTTTAATGCACAAGAAGTACACGTCCTTATATTAAATGTACTTTAATAACATGATCCTCAAATATCAAAATAACTATTGAAGAATACAAACCAAAGCAGTGAGCGGTAAGTAATCAACCTTAATCATTCAGACATTAAGGTAAGCCCCTTCTATTGTCAATTTAGAGTAAAAATTAAGGCCAATTAAACATTTTGTCTTTCACATTTAACAATCAGTGCCCTAACGGTATCTATTTAAAGTAAAACAGACCTGAGAAAGATCATTTTTCACGTCTTTCTTCTCGCCACAAGTCCAAAGTATTTCCCTTTTGCCAATAGAGTCCTCCCATGTATACAAGCCTACCATTGAAGGTCCCATTACATGGACTGGTCTACCGGATCCACTAGAAAAGAATAATGACACTGTTAAAATATCACTTAACCAGTCTACTGCATCCACTAGAAAGGAATTAAGAAAAATAATTGTTTATATTCACACAGACACTTTATTGTTGGCTATCTTCAACAGGATATTTCTTAAAAAAGTTGGTCAAGCCAATTCAAGAAACTGGTAACTACTTTGTCACTTTTACAATAGTTTTATTTATTAATTCATTTTGTTCCTTATTCCTTCTATTTCCTCAAGATTTGTTTTTTAGAACACTGATATCAAAAGCCATAAATAACTTTAAATTGAACACTACTGACATTTGAAAATCATACAAATCATACTGTTTAATTCATTAAATAACTTTAGATATTCATTCTTATCAATATTTTTATTATTATGTTTATCTATATTTCTATTTCCTTACTTTTCTCATTTGATTTATTTATTTTAACCAGTTAAACATTTGTTATAATTAGGTCTGGAAAAAATTACTTAAAATTAAACTTCAATATTCAGACTTTCAATATGACATTCAAACAATTTAAGCTTAATTTTGACTTACTTCAGGGAAGGGCCCACGATAATGTTGTTAGAACTTTTGGCCCAACTCTTTTAGATGTAAAATTGATGATTGTGTGTAAAATTGTATATTATTTTGAGTATAATAATACAATAATATATTACTGAACTAAGAACCTGGTCAAGCTAAGTTAAGAAATTTTAACAGGGTAAAGAATGGTTTATTTCAAAATGGCTGAACATAAGGTATTATTTGCAGTCCCCCCAAAAAATGGAATATTGAAATTACCTTTGTTGATATGAAATATTGCACTTGTCAGTTTGGTTTATAATTAGGACGGTTGCCATGCCAGTCTTGTAATTTGTCAAGGTCGTTACTACGGAAGATTCTGTCTCCTGACATTCCACGTTGATACCTCCATACTGAAATATAGCAAATATACCTGACATGTCATGTTTAGTTTATAACAATATATCTTAGTATGATTGTTTTGTATATAATCAGTTCAATAAAAACAAACGCTTTTCTTAAGCTTTCGACATTTAGTCTTCTTCAGAAAAAAATCAGTATAGAGAAATAAACATGACAATGAGTGGCAGGGTGGCCAAGTGTGTTTTTTTTTAAATTTATTTTTATTATTTTTTTTCTATGATTGTTTTGGAAGCTACATGTATAAGCTTTTTGAAACACTCTTAAATCCGTTCCTGAAACCAACCAGTACTAAGTTATGAGTGTAAAGTAGCTTGCCTACAGAAAGAACGGCTTGATGTCAACAGGGTCTGAACTCACATGCCCAGCAATCTTTAGAGTGCTAGTCTGATGTGTTAACCACTTGGCCACCCTGCCACTCATGTCATTTTTATTTCTCTATACTGAATTATCATAACATATGTATCGCCTTCAAAATTGACAATACTGGAATGTTAATCAATGCTCATAAATGCCAGTTTTTCCGTAATTGCCAAAGTTTTTCCGTCAAAAAACCTGGTTAAAAATTTTTTTTATAACAAAAATTCCTTCATTTCTAAATTTTACCTCATTATCAAGTTTGAGTAGTGTAGTATGGGGTTTATTGAACAGGAAATGACTTGTACATATATCTGTGTCCTTGACCTTTGTTTGCATTGTCATCTCCTTGCCCGTCTGCATCGGCCAAACTGGAACACACTGAAATATAATTATTACCTTGGTTACACTGTTTTCATTTATCTTACTGTCAAATTTGTTCTGATTTTACTACATTAATCTGTCAGCATTGTTTAATTATCAAATAAGGCTTATCAACAACAATTAAAACTTTATGGCAACATGACTTTTTAGTGTGTGATTTGGTCACATTGACCTGCTTAAAGTAATATGGCAATATCTAAGTTTTACTGGTTGAGAAAGATGTCAGGTATCCTCTGTGCATTTTTTTTTTCAGGGCACAACAAGCAAGCACCTGAATAGAACCACCAATCTTGCATTACTAAGCTTAATATTTTCCTCACATGCAAAATGCACGACTAAAACCCAAAGGAATGAAGGGCAAGTCATTCAGTCAACAATGTAAACAACTGGACTATGGAGGCCCCTCTCCTTACGATACTACAAAAATATTTCAAATGTCACAAATTTGACAAAATTAATGACTAAAGTCCCCTTTGCTATAATAAATGAAATTTCTGTTTCCGACATTTTTATTGTTTTCTATTGTTAATCAACCAATAAGTCCGTATCTTGTATCATTTGTGGCTATAAAATCATGGATATATTTTATAGAACAATTTTACCTCTTTTGATGGTATTTCAATCCAATCACTGTCGGCACTATTTTCTTTACACAACAATGTGTAGGAAGATGTGTTGACCAGCATGTTTGTAAAGGTTTTTA